GAGGGAGTGGGAACAAATGAGTGAAGGTTCGACATCAACTCAGTTTCCCCGAACCACATAATTACAAAACACATTAGAAGACCCAAATCAAGCAAATAAAATATATAAAAGAAAATCAAACCATTCTTGCAAGTTGGGTATTTGTCTTGTTTAGCAGATGAACCTGTAGAATGCAAGTATGGAAAAGGGTTTAGAAGCAATGTGATCCTTATTTAACCCATATATAGTGTATCATTTATTTTTGAGTGGGGAACATTCAAACTATTTAGAAGCAATGCAAGCAAAAAACAGTAAGCTGTCATTTTTTTTAGTCTTCCCCATTATCTAATCAATTAATAAACATCATAATAAATAATTAAAAAAATCATTGGTTGCTAAGAGAACATCATATCATAAAAAAGGAGAAATGCCACAGCACCCAAAAAGGGGAAGAAAAAAAAAGAAAAAAAGAAGAAACATGGTCTCATTCAGACTTTCAAATTCAAACAAATGGGAAAATTTTGAACATCCAAAAGTCTGGTGCTGAAAAATCTAATTTAGACTATGTGATCTCATTCAGACTATCTAGGGAAAAAAGAGACTACTATTTAGATAAAGATAAAAAAAGGTTTGGGAGGCATCCATTGCCACTTGTGGCAACAGCAATAGCGGGTAAGGAAGGGGTTGCAGTGGTAGTTACAGAAGAAGATATTAATACATCCACATATATGTAAATAAAATTGCAATGAAGAAAGAAGATGAAATTTTACACCAGCATCAGAGAAACACAGTTGCCTATCTCATCAGGAATTTGACCAGTTAATTTGTTCCCTTGAAAATCCCTGAAAATATTTCAACAACAACATCTAAAGTTAGTATTATGTAAACTTGGTTACAATGAGCAAGAACACCAAATCAACAGGATTAGCAAAGAAAGCATACATGGATTGTAGATTCTTCAGGTCTCCAATTAGCAAAGAAATCATCGTTGTGAACATCATCCCAGTCCAGCAACACAGTTGCTATGTTGCTAAACGACGCCTTAATCGACATCAACGCTTTGCCTGTGTGAAGATAACACCATTCTCTCATCATCACAATAGCTTTCTATTATGGTATGATTTGCTTCACAAATGAAGGGAAAGTAAATTCTCTCCCTAGTAGCAAAAAAAAATGTTGCTTTTAAAAATCCAAGCAAATGGGGGAGAGAAAGACAAGAAAAACAACAATGTGAGCAGTGCTGCCAAATAAACCTTGGAGCTTGAATCATGTTTGCCATTAAAAATTTTTGAATGAAAAATGAAAAAACCTACACACTATAAAATACCATTAAACTAATGGAACACATATTTGAGTCTCAGTGGCATAAATCAGTCTCATAAACCATCATCAGGAGTGGCTGAACCTTTTTAGGCTTTGCTCTAATTCCCAGCAGTCTCAACACAAATCTAGCAAGCTCTCCATATAGTAATCCCGATCGATCCAACAGCTGCACATGATGACTCCACGAGTTATTTAATTAAACATACCTATCATATTATAACGACCAGACTCAACAATTTCATCTTGCAAATAATCAAATGGGGACACAAGGAAATTAAAGCACCTGAAGAAGAGCAGTAATGAACATGTGGAATGCCTGTGTATTCTGGTCTATCAGTATTGCAACCCGGCCAAAGAAGGTTACCACACCTTCCAACTGCAATCATTGTTTCCGAAATAACTTCGAAATTTTTTAATTTCCTATTCACTTCGAAAATGATATAATTTGTCACTACAACATATATGAGTTTTAGAGACCAAATTTCTCTAAACGTGAAAATTGTGTTACAAAAGACATGTAGGGATCAATTTCTATTGTCATGAAGATAGTCGTTAAAAGGTCGTTTCAAAAAGTCAAAAACAACACTTTTAGCGACAACATTTTAAAAATGTCGCTAATAAATTGACTTTTAGGGACAAAATAATTTGATCTCAAAATGATTTATTTTTTTAAACAAAAAATTTGGTCCCAAAAGGATAAAATTCATCACTAATATCTAATTTTCGTTCAAATCGATATCTATAGATTCATTTTGACATAAGAAATTACATTTGAAAAGTGAGTTTTTCTATTCTACATATTAGTGATGAGCTGATATCACCCTTACAAAAATACAAAAGATACGCATGGTGTATCTTTATTTGTAGAAATTCAAAGTTCTGTATAGTTTATTTGTACAAATTCAAAAACAAGAAGCTAGATGGAACACATAATTTTGAAATGATAGACAATACAAGGTTGTAAATTTAAATGAGGGATCAGGCTTTGCAGCAAGGAACACGTCACCTATTTGAAACCATCTCAAAAAACATGTGGGCCTCACTTAAATTTGGGTTCAAAGATGGCCCAAATTAAGCGTATAAAACCAAAATTTTCCAACAATAGCTAATATTTTAAGGGTTTAGAATGTTAAAGCGGTTCTAATAACTTGTCCAAGTAGCCTTTTTTGGAATCTCTCATGATATCATCGAAGTCTACTTGGCATAACTGCAATGTACATGTTTTAGTTAGTTTAGTTAGTACATGTAAAATTTGATAAATTCCTCTGTTTTAACTTACCCAATTTTCGAATGTTGTATTCAATGCATTCCCTCTGAAAGATTGGTAGAGAGGGAGAGAAAAGAGAGAGACTGAAAAGAAGGATTTGTATATACAATGTATGTTGTTGTATATCTGTGTTTACAAGAGAATTAGGTCTCTCTATTTATAGAGAGGAGAAAGATACAATGGAGTACGAAGGCTAAGGTAAGATATTACAATAATATCAAAGTGTAATCTAAAGCTTTGCTGGTAGTGGGTGTTGGCCTCCTTTACACCTTTGCTGGTTCCTAATGCACATGTACAGCTCACATGTACATTACAGCTCCTAATGCACATGTACATTACAGCTCCTAATGCACATGTACAGCTACTAATGCATTATGAAAGTATAAAGTATATTATATGTTCAAATCTTCAATGCTATCACTCGCATCGAATTGCAGAGCATCCAACCACGAATTCAACCGGTGGTGGTTCGCGGCGGCAGCCTCACAACCCTCTTCTGCCTTCTCTCCGGCTGCGGCGGTGTTGAGGTAACGGTCGACAAGGGCGTCGAAGGAGGGTTCGCCGTGAGTGTAGGGACGGCCAGCGGGGGAGAAGGTGAGGATTGCGATGTCGGCGCCGGTGAGGGATCGGAGTTGTCGGGCTTTGTTGAAGAGACCACGACGTCTCTTAGAGAAGGTAACCATTCTCTGTCCTTCCTTCTCTACTCTTCTAATCTCAATTTTTTTTTTTCCACTTCCCATCTTCTCTTCTGTTTTACGCCGTCTCTAACAAAACTCTCCCTTAAATAAGCCGCCAACCCACCGACCAAAACCCTAGCTACTACTTCTGGCGGTAAAGTTTGGACAACTGTTTAGTGGGGATGTGTTTGGGCTGGGCTTCCACCTAATTCTTCCTTATTAGGCCCAAGATTGTTTCTCAATTGGGTCGACACTTAAATGAAGGCCCAACCAGCCCAATTAGTTATTCCCACATCTAACTTCATTGGTCTATATTTAGGGCCCAAGTGAGCTGAACTGTTTGCCAGTTCAACTCAACTCTGTTCATTAAATAAATAAACGATATCAAATAAGCTTATTGCATTTATTATTTATTTAAATGATAAGATAAATATATTTTATATATATATATATTTAAATAATGTAAATAATAATGAAAAAAAATTATCGAGTTTCAAGCTTTTAACTTGAACTTAGTTAGTATTTAGTATTAATGAGTTGAGCTAAGTTTGAACTGAATTTTCAAGCTCGTTAAACAAATGAGCTGAGTTCAAGCCTACAAAACTCAACTCAACTCATTTTTTGGCAAAAAAAATTAGGATAAATTACATTGACACCAACTGAAATTTATGTTTATTACAATTTTTCTCTTACCTTTTGAAAATTTTAAACCTCGGGAGGGAGGGGGATGTATTTCTATTTGGGAGTATTTCTTCTTGTGATTCTTAGGTTTATTCTAATATAAAGTTTCATGATATATTTTTAAGTTTATTGTATTTTTTCATATGTAGTTAATGTAAATTTTATGATATCTCCAATCACATAAATAAATAAATAAAATGGCCATTTACTAATAAATCTTATATCTATGACTTATAGACCATTTAGTCCCATACATATTTTTTATAAACCCAAAAGTCCTATCTCATATTAAAATCTCCCAAATGAAATATACCTCGCATTTAGAACCGTAATAACACAATAGTACACACATTAGAATGATATCTCATTTTCACATTTTGATAATGACACATTTGATAAAAGTTTAATAAGATAATAGTGTATAAATGTCTCATTGTCACATGTTAAGAAGAATGAAATATTTGACAAAAGTTTAATAAGATAATAGTATACAAATTAGAATGATATCCCATTATCACATTTTAAGAATGACACATTTGATAAAAATGTAATAAGTCAGTAGTGCACAAATATCCCATTGTTACATTTTAAGAAGAATGACACATTTGACAAAAATTTAATAAGACAATAGTATGTACATTAGAATGATAAGTGTACTTTTTAACTTTTATGAAAGATGTGCAAAAAGTAGAGAGGTGATGTAATCCAAAAAAGATAAAAAAAAATAAAAAGTGTGTGTACTCCAAACCAAGCAAATTTGACAAAAATTTAATAAAACAATAGTGCATAAATAAAGTATACCCACATTTGGAATATTCAAGAAATATAGTGAAAGAACCTCATAGTATATCTTTTCAAATTCAAAAATTAATGAGACTTTCCGATACATATTTTTTTAAGATAGGACTTATGTATAAATTTCCCTAAATAGAAAGGACAAACAATTATAAGTTGTTACAAACATGCATGCTGACTACACTGGCCTTGGATTTGATCAGTTGTCAGATGTTATTGATAAGTTGTTGGCCATCCCCACAGATCTACAAGTCCACTTCCAGTTGTTGACACCAAAATAATACTAACAAAATATAACCTTGATGTTAAAATGAACGCACAAGTCTAATGGGCTGCCATATCTGGGGTTTGATTTGCTTTCAAGCCTTGGATATACTTTCCAAGCGTACCATAATATCAAATGAAAACCAGCCAACTTTCATCATTAAGACGATTTTCTCATCAAGATAACCCAACTATCGGAAAGTATTCATATAAAGCATTTACACCAAAATATTAATTTCAAGACCTCCCAAAACCCAAGTATTGTGTCTCACTTTGTTAATCTCTTACAAGTAGTAGATATATATATGATTATCTACTTCAATAAGTGGGCAAGGTCAGGATCATCCAGGTCCAAATCCAACCATCCATTTAAGCGCATGTACTCGATGTAATGATCTGGTGGCTTCACAGCACGTGGATTTCTTGGAGTAAAGCGATGAATCCTCTCAAGATCTCGAGCAAGCCACCGCACATATGCACGGTCCAAAGGAGGTACAATCTTTAGGAATATCTCTTCCTTCTCTTCCTTTGCAGGCTTGTTTCCCATGTTTAATCAAACCTAGCCAACATATAAAAAATAAAAAAAAATAAAAAAATAAAAAAAAAGGAAAAAAGTAGCAGTCAGAAAGAAAACTCACCTCCTATCAATCATTGAATAATAGAAAATCTTTAAAGGCATGTAAGATGATACTAAAAACTTGCTAAAGAAGGCCAAACTCCATTTACTTCAATAAGCATCCCATAACGTTTTTATTGTGCAACCTATCATATATTTCTTTCTTCCTTCATTTTTCTGATTCTACAGCGCTTAAAATAATACCACTTTGAAAATTTATAACACACTGAAATTGTATTGCTGTTTGTCCCCTTTGTAGACCTCAGAGAGATCGTGTCTAACCATGACCGTCTTATCCCATAGAAAGTTTCATCCCAGCTCCCAATTCTGTGGTCTCAATTAATAATCAAGGCTTTGGAGCAGCACTTATCTCAACTGCTAAAGAACAAGAATTAACTCAACTAGGTCTTGCAAATTTAGAACTGTTAGAATAAGCTATGCAACTTAAATTTATACATTGTACTAGTTGATAAATTTAACCTCCTATCAATAATCTATACTATTATATTAAGTGAAGGCTGGACTTGGTGTCCAAGCCTTTGCTTGCTTCTCCTTATGTCATGTGTCTCTCATTTTTCTACTTGCAAAGAAAAAAAATAATAAAAATATTAGATAGATGACAAGAATGGAACTCGAACCTTGGACCTTGGGTCTACTAAAGAAGACTCTTACTACTCGAGTGACACACAATATATAGAAAATATTTTGTTTTATTTTTACTTATTTGAATTGCACATGCATAGCCAACTGCTAGTTGTAGATTAAGTACAAGTCTCATCAGAGTGTATGTCTCCAAGTTGTTTTGCTCATCCCATAATTGGAGGACATAGTGGCATGGGTGAAACATTCAAAGTGTATACAGTTAATCCTCCTTTTGTACATGATGAAAACTGCCATATATATGTAGTACAGCATATTTGATGATGGTATACTGGTACAAATTGTCCACACAACCAAATAATAAATTATTGAGAAGTATTTACGGAAGTGAATAAAAAACATTGAACTCCTTTTGGGTATTTAATGCTAAATGGCATCAAACATAAACTACAGCATACCCATATCATATCTAGTCAAACAGGTATTTCATTCATGTTGGAGCAAAAATGTGATAATCCTCGTTTGGCAAGTGACTTTTTTAGCCAAAAAACCAAAAAGTCACTAAAAAAACCAAAAAGCCAACAACCTATACTAAAAAGTCAAAGATTTCATTTTCTCTCTACTTTTTGTACATCTTTTCGTAAAAAAACAAAAAGCCATCCCAAACATAATAGTTTTTTTTACATCATATTTTAGTCAAAAAGCTGAAAAGTTACTAAAAAAGCCTGTTCCCAGATGAGGCCTAAGGCAGTTCTTGAAATGTAAAAAAAAAAAATGGAGAGACAAGGTTAAGGTCATAATTGGATAGACTGGAGAAGGCCTGAACCCCTTGATTTATCCATTATGTCACAAATATATAAAAAATAAAAAGTTTTAATGAAAAAAAAAAAAAAAAGAAGGTGAGTCAAGCTTAGGAATTCAACCATGAAGGATATTTATTTTCGCTTATTTAGGAATTCAACACCCATTAACATCCCAATTTCAATTAGGATCCTATGTTGTTCCATTCATACTACCCCATTACGTACTACTAATTCCATAAGCTATAAATTCTAAATCTCCAAGTGAACAGTCTGTTGCAACTGATAAGTTTTCTATGATGCAGCCCACTCTACAAAGGAAAGCTTGTCACCATGATAATGTAGGATCAAAATCAATAACTATTCCTTTAACACATGGTACAGGAATCATGCTGAAAATACAGGAATGTCACAACCATACGGCAATGCAGTGCATGATGGGAGCTCCCCCTAATGTAACTAATTACAACTAACCTCCTAGAAGTATCAGGTTTTGAGAAATGTAATTGAGTTACATTGAATTTTCTCTTTACTCAAATTAGAGCCTACTGTAATTGATTGGTTTATTTTCATGTTGTTGAGCTTCATTTGGTCTTTCTGAGTAACTAATTGGACTCAAAGAACATAATTTCACTACTTTATTTGTGGGATGTGCATGATTTTAAATACATTATAAACATTACCAAATATTTATAAATAGATATAGACACACATAAACGTGCAAAACTATAGATATAGAGGGAGAAGTGGTAGAGAATTGTTGTGATCAATACAAATCACTGTTATTCTTCAATACCTTGTAGACACTTGAATCTTGATAACATTTGAGAAACTTAATCCTAGAACTCTACCTTGATTTATAATTTGGTCAGGAGAAGCAACCTTAGAGCATTTCCAATCTTTCATCTTTTTTCCTTTTTTTTTTTTTCCCATCAAATTTGGGTAAAAAAAATGGTTAAAAGCTTGATTTGATATGGGATGCTCCAATAGATTTTTGTCAAATTTAACTAAAAACTAGATTTGGTGAAAAATTGAATGCTTCAATCCTCACTAACTTCAAAATTTTCATCAAATATTTTTGAAAATTTCAAATTTACCCCCCGAAAGCTTCTTTCATCAAATTTGGTTTAAAAAAAAAAAACTTGTTTTGCCATGATTTGATGTAAATTTTGGTGAAAACTTGATTTGATACAAGTTTGATGAAATGATTGGAGGTCATTTTCAATACAAAATGTTTATGGTTTTCCTTATGTATATCCTAATCAATCTCAAATTTTGAGCCCCTTTTTTTCTTTCTTTATTTATTTTTTCTGTCCACCCTTGAATAACTTTGCAGACCTGAGAGTTCTACAAAGTCCATAGAGCACAAGACTATGAAAAGATCAAATCAATCGGAGCTCTACAACATGACCATGGAATTTTCTTCTGGAATTGAGTAATTCATGTGAAATCACTCAATCGGATTCAAGAGTACCAACATCTACTCTAAATAGTGAATTCAATGAGTCAATTCATAGGTTCGCCCACATGTAATGATAAGGGGGATCGAGAGCAAAACCAAAAAGGACAAGTAATTTACAACAGACGTGTGTTCAGAGTTGAATGCACAATTCATAGAGAAATGAAGAGTGATAAATCATGACTTACCAGGGTTTGCTTGTTGGCCTCTCAATCTCACACACAGTCAAGGCAAGGCAACAGACAAGGCAACAGACAGAGAGAAAGCTTAGCCAGAAGAACAGTGCAAATGTTTATAAACAACTGAAACTGGTGCCAAAATACCCGACCCAATGGGACCCGGCCCTCTCCGACTCTTTAAAGTAAAATGAGTTTGGGGATTTTTGATAATTAAGGCCACGTTTGGAACCAATCTTTAGGTTATATCATCTTTTTATTTTTTACACGTTTTTTTAAAAACAAATTAAAAGAATTTAAAGGATTAGTTTTTAACCTACATTCCAAAACAATCCTAAGCCAGGGTAGGGTAGGTAGGGTTGGGTTGGATTGGGTTTGTTGGAGAAATTTTACTTACACCGTAATTTTGGAGTGTTTTGAAAAGTTGGTTAAAAGTTGACTTTTTAATTTTTTTTGACTTTTAAAAAAAAATATGTAAAAAAGTAAAAAGTTATGTGACCAAAAAAAATTAAAAAAACTAAAAAACTAACTTTTAACCAGCTTGCCAAAATGGCACTTTATCTCTTTATATATATTTTCTCATTACACTATTGAAAAATAGTTAAAATTCTCATTACACCCTTTATAATACCAAAACTAACCTTAAATTAAACCATTTTTAAAATCCATATAGATTTTTTTCATTGCACATATTTCTTTTGAATTACTCCGGTGTAATCTTACTAAAAAAATTATATTTATCTAGCCATCTTTTGTCACACATTTATAGATTCACTTGTCTTAAAATATCATTTTTTCCCTAAATTTATGATGGGCCAGTTCGGTTATACGTTACCAAACAATTTAGATTATTTCAGTGTCATGTTGCTGAATAAATTAATTTTGTTCAGCCATTTGTTACCGCATGTTTACAGATTCATTGTCTTTAAAATTTCAAGTATCTATAAAAACATGAAGTGTATAAACATATATGAAAACATTCATAAAAATAGTCTATACAAATATCTTTAAATTTGTCAATACAAACATATATAAAAACACACTGAGACTGTTATCACAATCCATCTATGTTGATAATTTTGGTAGTTACTACATTAGGGCTGACAAGTGTACGAAATTGATCAATACAGATAATATATGCTTTTTGCATCCACTAGCACACGGGTGATGAAAACTAATCCAATTACTTACTTTTAGAGGTATTAGATGGCCAGGAAGCAGATAAATCTAATAAACCATTAACAATGTATTACTAGCCTTACTGCAATGAATAGAAATATAATCTTTCAAAACAAAAACAAAAAAAATAAAAATGAAAGAGGAAATGTTTAGTAGTGAGTTACTGGAAATGTACTTTTTGTTCAGTAGTAGGTCATTGGATATGTATTTTTTGTTCAACAGTGTGATTTCAGGCATTTGATTTTATTCGGTTCTGGTACACCGAACAAAAGTCAAACAATCATCTTGAAAAACGAAATGAAAACATAAAAAGTAAAGAAAAAAAACTTACCATTTCACTTTTTTTCAGGTCCTTCATCACAAGTTCTTCGTCTATTGATTTTTTTATGATCAAAACACTATGATTTTCACTTTTTAAAAAATATATAGTATAAAAGAAGAAATGAGAAAGCAATAAAAAAAAATAGGGATTGAAGTGTAATGAGTGTAAAGAAATAATCAAATCTATTTAATTTTTATCTTTTGTCCTTAAAAATAATTTCACACACAAATAAAATTAGAGAAAAAAAATATTTCTCAAATGAAGAGTGTAAGGAAATAAATATATTGTGTAAGTAGAATTTTTTGTTGAATAGAGTTGGGTTGGTGAGTGAATTTTTTTTAAAAACATATTTTTCATTATTGTTTATTGATATATAACGATTTTTAAGTTTTTCTTTTTTTTTTTTTTTGGTCCTTTTCTAGATATCATAATTCCCTCTCCCTATATTATGTAATTTTATTAACATTGCCTTCGTCTGGCATGAGGCTAAAATGAAGTTGGGAGCTAAAATAGTCACAAAAGACAAAACAGGCTAAAAAATTAATAAGACAAAATGTCACATGCAAATCATAATTATTTCACTTTTTCTCTTACAAAAGTCAAAAAAATTCAACCCAAACAAAGTTTTTAGCCCTAGACTAAAATATCTAAAAAGTCAAAAAGTCAACTCACTTCCCAAATGAAGCCATTGATATTAAACAATATCAATTGCTACAAGTCATTTATCTCACATTATTAAAATTCAATATTAAAGATATAAATAATAAAGGCAAAATGGACAAGTAGGGTCGGAGATAGAATTACATTAAGCGGGGCGGGACAAGGGTGAGGTAAATGTCTAAATTGGGGTGGAGTGGAGGTCATCAACATAACATGGTCTGTTACAATTCTTGCTTATATGGTTGTTTAATAGGGTAAATTACAGATAAATAAATAAATAAATTCATGAGATTTGCTTAAAATATAGATTATTGTGGTGATGGGGTTTGGAAATACCCTTTGGCCCAAGCAGACTTTCTTAATCCTCAGATTGGTACCTGAAATGGGGATGTATACTCTGGTGGGAGGTGCCGATACTAACACTTCGACGGACAAGTTAATATTCTCTTGGGTCTTTCTTCTATCACAAGTTATCACTCTTTTTTCACATGCTCGTTCTTTGGTTGATGGCCCTCCTTTTTATATTACTCTTCAAGGGCCCACTTTCTATTATGGACACCTTGCCCTCACAGCTGGACCCCCAGTCGTTTCTACAAGATCTGTGGCCTATTCGGCCCTATGGATAGGTTCTAGTCGGCCACGGCCCTATTCATCACTGTGTATTCGACAATCTTGAGGATAAGGCCCAATCTGGGCCGACTTAAATTCGGCTCCCACAATTGCCCCCCAAACATCCAAGTAAGTTCATTCCGGTCAGCATGTTTGGTTAATACATTCCTCTCAGATACTATGTCAGAAACTCTTGAAAGTCAGAAATACGACGGTTGCACCCTTTTTGGAACTGACTTGTCAGAACAGGCATGATATTTTAATCATTACAGCTTCCCGCCCCTTCGTATTTGACAATTATTTAATGTTCGATTTGAAAACCAGCCCTTCGTATATTCTTGAATCAAAAGGCTCTCAATTTCCTTTGGCATCCTTCATACCAACCTCCTTCAAGACTTCTGCAATTCCGCTTTCCACTGTTCATCTTCTTCTTTGACCTGCGAGTTCCACTCTTTCTTCTCGTTCTGCTCTCATTCCAGTCCCCTATGTGTTTTGTTTTTTGGTATACATTTTGTTTGTATTCCGTTTTAAATGGCGAGACACTTGAAAGCCCTCCTCTCAGAGGAGCGAACCACAACCTTCCGTCGTCATTTTTCTATCCCAGACGACGTCCACCTATCCCTTGTTGCAGACAGTGTGGTGGACATGGAGAGGGCTGACACAAACACCATTAACTTCCCTCTTTTAGCAATTGCTGAGGGTGGAGTTTGATTCCCCCTCTATCATCTTCTTAGGACAGTCCTGCGCTATTGGGGATTAATTCCTTCCCAGCCTAACGTGAACTTCCACTGAATAATCATGTGTATAGTAGAGTTGAATCACCAACTAGGTTTTAACCTAGGAATCCCAACTATTCAGCACTGCTATGTTATGGCGAAATCAACCGGTCGGCAAGGCCATTACTTTCTGAGAGCCAAAGATGGTGACCATCACTTGGTAACCATGCTCGCCAGCTTTGGAAAAAGGGTTGACGATGTCATGGTCACCGTCCGAGACAATTGAGAATTCGGCGTGGGACAAGATCACCAAGACCCAGTGCTGAGGCAAAAAGGAGAACCAAATGGCCGACTAGAATTGTTAACGTGTCCAAAAATGAACAGTTTATTCGACTCAAATACTGGGTGCTAATCATTTGTTTTTTTGCAGGCAACGACTTGAAAAGGGCATTGACATCGGCGGACGATGCCGTTCTGAAGCAAGTCAAGAAGGATCTTAATTACAAAGGTTGTTCAAACCTTCAAGGACAAGGGCGTGCAACCCATGTTTTGCTGAGATACGAACCAACCTACTCTACTTTCTCGGCGGTAGATAATATCCTTGTGCCGACACATGAACGGCAGCTTACTGCACTTATATTCCCTAGCTACAAAAGTCTAAGGGATATTGGTGCTGAGGGTTCCGACGCCATCGAAGAGGTCGACGAAGACACTCAATCTGAGGGTCGTGTAGAGGGCCAGGAACTTAACAGAGAAATTGAATTGGCATTTGAGCATATCACCCTGACCATTGCACCAATCACCCATCCATCTTTGGCTTAGTAGACTTATTTGCTTCAGAGGACGACCTTTTCACCAGATTAGAAAATCTTCATGGGGCCGAATGTGAAGCAGAAGGGATGAACGGAGAATCACTTGCCCAATTTGCCAGACGACAAAATGCAGAGAAGATGGCGGCCAAGAGGCAAGTCGGCGGGACTTGGGGGAGCCAAGTAACACCAACACGCGAGGTTCCTGTAGAAGAAATGGCCTGCGAAATAATTGTGGCCAAGTTTATTCCTGAAGATAGCCAGACAGAAGTCTTGGGAGCCAATCTTATAGAGCAGAAGAGACGTGCCGAGATCACGACCGAATTGTTGGAGGAGCCAATTGATTAACGGCCAAGGGTGGAGATGTCACCCATCGCAGATGATTTATCTAAGGCATTCGTCATCCAACCACGGATGAAGAGTGCGCCGATGCCAAACAGTGGGTCAGCCATCAAAGATCCCGCCGTGGCCCTAAGCGTTGCTTCGGCACTCTCTTTGTTAGCAGACAGAGCAATTTCCATGCCGAACTAGATGTTATCTCGATTGCTTTGGCGGCACAATCGGCCATATTGGTAAGTTGTAAAAACACCTAAAATTTCCAATAACTAAAATTTCCATTCTTACTCAGACTAACATGTCTTGGCTTCATTGCTTTGCCAGGAGGCAGGAAGGATTGCCGAGATCAGCCGTCGTCATTATGACGTCATAGAGCGATTTAGTATCCTTGAAAGCCAGTTAAAAGAAGAAAAGCAAGGCCATTGCTGCAATTGCAGATTTTTCTGCGATGACGGCGAAAGCCAAAAAAAAGCAAGCAAAGGCAATTGCTGCTCAGGAAAAAGCTCAGCACGCTGATCTGCTCCG